ATATATATATATATATATATATATATATATATATATAATTTTTAGCTTCGCCATCGAGAAAAAAAATCGATTAGAGAGATAAAAACGAGAACACGTATTCCGAGATACGCAATTGCGTATTAGCATATACGGGGTGCTCCGGAAATTCCAAGTTTACGATTCGCATCGCGGATAAAATACGAGCTGTATGAAACAACGAAATAATTCCGAATCGTAAGAACTTGCGATTTAAAAATAAAACATGTTAAAAACTTTTGTTTCAATGTTAAAACGTAAAAACATTCTTCCTTAATCGAAAGTAAAAAACATTGGATTTCTTTTATAAAATTTATCTTATAAAAAGAAAAATCTTAAAAAAAGATGCAATAATACTTTGTTGTTCTAAAATAAGTTTATAGTCTTAATATGTCATTGACATGTTTTGCATTAGGCTAACGCGTGTTTCTTATTCTGTAAGAAAATAATATGTTATATGATACGAAGGAAATAATAGTTACTACAAGTTGCAATCATATTATAAGGATATTTGATGAATAAAGAATGAAACCACTTTTCCTTTGTAAATTATAATATCGGATATTAGGTTCTCAACTTGAGTCATGATATTTTACGAATCTTATTATTTTTGCCCGCATTAAAGAAATATAATACTAGTTCGAACTTGTTCCGAACCGATGTAATATATCATTTTTTTAACTTAATCAATAATCTTTTTCAAATTCACCCGAGAGATTATTCGCTACCAATTTCTATAACGAGCTTTATTTAGACGCAAAGAAGAAAATGATCTGAAACATTCGTGTTACTAATCAAGAATTAAACATTAAAGAAAAAATTTGCGAAACGACATACGCTTTTTTTCTCTTCAAAAAACATCATATCTTCGCAAGAATTGTCAATTGTCATTAAATCGCTCTGATCATCGGTGTTGAGTCGACGGCAAAAGTCCAAGTTTTGGCGGATTAATTCACCAGAAAAATCGAAGCCAACTTACCATACCATGCCTGTGCTTCACCCTGCACCTCGATCGCCAGACCAAAATCCGCTAATTTCACAGCCGCCCCTTTCGCCTTGCTCGCGAGGAGTAAATTTTCGGGCTGAAACAGAAAATGGCACAGATCCGTCGACATCGTTGAGTGCCCATTAAAATTGAACTCGAATGAGATTTAAACGTTCCGTGTGATTTCATCGACGTTAAAATCACACGACGTTGATGAAAATCACATTCTCGTGCACATTCTTTTGTCAAAACTAATAAAAAAACGCGAAAACCTCTTAAGGTTAAGGAGTTGCTGAACTTTGAAGACTGGCAAATACTAAGAAATTTTCAATGGAAAAAGCTTCAATGGAGAACACGAAGCTCGCGAGATAGAAAATACCATCTTTCACCGTTATTGTCCAGATTTTCCAGAAACATTCCATGGAAATCACGGAAAGTAACCGAAGTTACATTAGACGGAAGTGGAAAAATAGACGGGTGAACGCGAAAGAGGGGGCTCGCTCGTTTTATTTCAACGTCGCGTCGCGACCTTAAGCGCGCACAAATGTGCTCTCGACAAACTCGCCCCCCTTTTTCTCTACGTACTTTCAGATCCCGGTGCACAACTCCATTATGGTGGCAGTGGTGAACGCTTTCCAGGATTTGTTGAATACAGTGCGAGGCGTCGGCCTCGCTGTAGAATTCCCGGGCGACGATGTCCTCAAACAGTTCTCCGCCGGTGACTCTGTAAGCGTTTTACGTTTCAATTCCATTTTGCGAGCGCGTCGCGAGATCGCGTGGTAAAGGAATATCGTCAAGTAGCGGGACGTTTAACCACGCGAAAGAAAAAAAAAGAGTGAATTTTCAAATGCTTCGCGTAACATAGACGTGCTCTTGCAGTAATGCCTGTGTTCGAGTTAGTCGTGCAAAAATCTCTTCTAACGTTATGATAACATTATAATAAATAAATAATAAGAGAATCAATCATTAAATGTAGAGATAGCTAACTTATCAAGATTATGCAATGTATTTCTATACATTGGAGCCAAAGGACAAATAAAACTCACACATAGAAGATAATACATTTGAAATAATTTCAATTGTTATTGAAATAAAAATTAAAGTATAATGAAAGGACTTATACTACGTAGAACCGATTCAATATTAAAAATTTGACGGATGACAAATAGATTTTTATCGTATCGAAAAAATCGAGTAAAAAACGAACGTTATTCTTCGATTAAATTTCTCGTGACTCATAAAGTAACAGGTAACGGGGCGAATTAACAAAATCATATTGTTGCCAAAAAGGAAAATGAGTTTCATTGATACGCGATAAATCAACGATAAGTTGACGAATGTAAACGTAACACGGAACGGGTGTCCGTTCTCGCGTGGAAATTAAATTAGACGCGATACTTTCTCGTTTCCGACACGCAGACCGCTGACGATATTAAAAGACTGCAGAGATCGGTATCTGCTTGATACAATTAGAGCTCACGAATTGCCTCGCTATTGTTCGCCGTTAGGAGTCTGTTAATGAATTCGCGACTAGATGAATGCAATGACGCGAGAATCGCGTCTATTGTCAATTCGATCATATCGAGTACTCCCAATATGATTGCGTGGATCGAGAAATTGAACCATTTTTTGAATAAAGAGATAAATATAGTCTCTCTCTCTCTCTCTCTCTCTCTCTCTCTCTCGCAATATAGTTAGATATCGAAAAGTTTTTATGACTTCGGTAACTTGAAATTAGTCTGGAATTAGTAAATAGGATAGTTTGGGATTATAAATAATAATATTACCATATAAATAAGATAATCGTAACTTTTCAACAATTATGTCAATAAGTAACGTATAATGAATTCTTTCCATTGAACATAAAGTAGGAAGTAGAGATGTGATTTACAATTAACATATTTAATATTAATGTTTAATACTAATTTATAATAATGTATTAATTTAAACAACTGTTAAAAATCATCAAAAAATATTAATTATATCTGCCGACAAATGATACGTCATCATTATAATCATTCGGGATTTCGATTACTATAATTTTAGCTTCTTTAAAATAATTAATTCAATCTAAAAAGAAAAAAAGAAAAAAAACACGAAAAGCATATAAAAAGATTAAACTTAAAATAGATCTAATCAGTGGTAACAATTCGATATATACTTACAGATCAAAGACGAGATAATGGAAATTCTCCTCTTGTATACTGTCATGTAATCTCACTGTAACAGAGAGAATATCAAGACATGAAATTTGCGTAACACTTACTTGTTACAATCGTCGTTTATTTTAAATTATTTCTATATTTTAAAGTATATCTCTAAAATAGAACTAACAACAAAACAAAGCAACAGTGTTACATGAGTATCATTAAAAAATATATCACCTTTTAACATCTGCTTTTTTGATTCCTATTATTTTTCATTTTGTTATATAGCCTTACTCGGTAAAATCAAACAAAATCATTGAGATCTACTTAATAAATAAAATTAATAAAAATATTTTTATATCTCCAATATAATATGATAATTATATATAATTTTATATAGCTTATTCATTTTTATTTTATGCATTTTTTTTATTTTATTTACTTATACTTCGTTCCTCTTTTCTTTCTTATGACATATTTTAATATATTTAGATCTTGCATCAGCCAGTTTTGAATTATACACGTATTATACACATGATCTATGCCGATCAAACTTTCCACGACTGGAATGAAAAAAAATTTGTGCCGATCAACATCGCGATCATTAACATCGTGAACTGTGAGACTTTCTCCGTTTAAATTCTATGAATTTGTCATAAGTTTAACGACAAGTCTTACTCCTAACAAGTTTTGGCGAACGTGAAAACCGGTTCACATGCCGGTAGCATTCAAAATCGTTATATCCACAAGATAAAATCATCAAACAAAGACGTGACACCATTGTCAAACAATCGCGTCATTATTTAAACTTTTATAATGCCTTCTTAAAAAGATGTCATCAATTATCTCGTCTAACGACCGTGCGACAGATTAACGATCATGCTCCATTTAGCGACTTGTATGTGTCAATTCGATTTAACGATATGACAGAACGCGAGCGAGAACGAGAATATTTATTAGGACGCCTCTCATGAATAAAATGCAATTCAATCGCGAATAATAAAATCGTGCGTAATAAAGTCGACAAAGATATATCTATCATAGTTATGTAAAAAGTAGTCTGCGACTATCGCGACTTACTTTAAATTATTACTTTAATTTATCGTTGCGCGTCGTTCGTTAAATATATATCTTTCATGAGATAGAGGTGTAATTAATCTTCAATATCTTGTAACGAGTAATTAGTTTAATAATAGTATGACAAGTTAATTATATAAAGTTACGAGTACAGTTTTAAATAGTTATCTACACATAGATATTGGCCAAATCAAGATAAAACAGAAACCGGATGAAATCGTCTGTTTACAAATAACGCTTATTACGATCGTGATTTACATCAAGACGATAGAATGCTCCTCCGTTTTTCTGATCCGAGAATCAGTTTGTTTCCGCAAATCGAGTTTAATCGGAGTCAAGTAAAGATATCATCGATTCATCACTCGGTCACTCTATTCGTATAGTACGTATAAATTCGTATAATAAATTCGTATATAACACATGCTTTTTTTTTGTATCTGTATTATACAAAAATAAGATCCTTTTTCGATTAACAAGCATCGGACGAAACAACAAAAGAAAGTCTTCTACGATGCTATTCTCTAGTTTATGAAAATGCTAAATGTCGATATCCGGCTTAACAAATACAATTTCTTTTTCTTCTTTTCATACAAAAGTCGCAAAGTTTAAGCAACGCCCACATAATCATTGTACATCTTATACATAATAATATATGTTAACGAATAAAATTTCAATTCTCCCTATTCCAACAAAATTGAAAATTTTCAAATTCTTACGAAAGTTCTAATTGAAACCCTTATGGAAGAAGCAATTTAGTCGAACAATTAAAGATTCAAATTATTGATATATATATTACAGCTTGCAACCTGCACTTTCTCAATAATATAATCCGAAAAATAAGATATTTGCTATTTTTGAAAAATCTTTTATTTACGTACAGAGTATCTTGAATCTTCCTCTTTAATTCCTGTTTGTAGGCGATTTCCTTTTCCCTTCAAGAAAATGGGACTGCACTGTTTTTGGCTAGCTCACTTACATTTGTTCTACCTATCCAGCGTTTCCGCCGCAATGCGCCGTCCCCAAAGCATACCTATTTCGAGATCGATCAACGAACTGGGTTGACGTCGCCACACCGTCATAATGAGAGCAGAACTTTTACCGATAGACGTATCGCTTCATAGTTAGCACGCGGCGTTAACGTGACAACTCACTCGTCATTCTCGCCGTTTCATCAACGGAAAGAGATCTCACCAAGCGAAAACAGGTATTTCCGATACCGCCTGTCGTCCGCAAGTAAAGAAAATTTCACGAAAATAACGTGGATATCGTGAGATGAAAACGATCGATGGAAAACACCATTACTCATTCCTCTTGATTCTCCCGATCCTCTCGAGTGCTTTTAATACGATCGAAGTGAATGATAGATTTCTAACGAGTCTTCACGAGATTTCATTATACGTGGCAAATATTCATCGGATCAAAGAGTAAGATAAATAAGAAAATTTCGATAAACGAATAAATCAAAAACAGATATATTAATATTATAATTTTAAGACGAACTGGAGTAATAACGTATAAAACGCATAATAATGCGTATAATTGTGTAATGTTCTGTGTATAAATTTTGTTATTGTAATTCCGCATATAATTATCGTTGATAAAATAAATGTAGTAAGTTTTGTATGTGAAAATATGAATAAACCGATCAATTTAATAAACGTAAAATTATCAAATTATACGTAAAATTATCAAAATATACAAAAAACACGATGAAAACTGACGATGAACTTTCGCCAATAAAAAAATTTTAAAAAATTTTGAAAGTTACGTTACATAATATTATTGCAATTTATTTTGTAATTAAAAGTTATACTATACAATTATTATAATATTAAATTATATTATATTATCTATTTATACGTACAAAAAAATATTTTTATGTCATTTTTTGCTATGATTCAGGACACCTTCTTACAATTTTTACAAGTTTTACATATGTTTTACATATACTATCTTTGTCTGTAACTTAATTTGTAAATAAATATCTTTCACTATTATATCAGTACTCTCTGAGAGATCTAAAGAATAGAATTTTCAGAATGGATTGCAACGTATATCAAAATTCACATAAATGCATTTTTCCATCTGCAACATCCTTCTCAAATAATTCTCGAGATCATCGTAAGAAAAGAGAAGATGAATATCCATCTTTTTGCTCTTTGATTCTTCGATTTTGTAAGATATGATCGAAAAAATAGATTCGAATACTAAAACATATATTATTAACGAGAATTTTTATCTACGAAGAAAAACTTATTTTTTTTCGATAGACACATTTCAATTTGCAACTTACAAAAAAAAAGATATAAAGATAAAGTTTTGAAAATTCACCAATAATGTTATATTTCAAGAAACTTTAATTATTTCGTCAAACGGAGTATCATATAAATACGCATGAATCTTTAATGCTACAAGAAATAATGGAAAAAATTGACACAACGACAATGACTACTATCTTGATGAAAGAAAAGAGAAAAAAAGATGAAGAGAGAGAGAGAGAGAGAGAGAGAGAGAGAGAGAGAGAGAGAGAGAGAGAGAGAGAGAGAGAGCTACACACAAGTATCGATCCTTGAAGCCACACCTCGACGTAACTGTATGTGCGATGTTGTTGTGTTTTCATTGCAATTATATTTACAAGCTTTCAGATCCTTCCAGAAATTACAATTCAACAACTATTTCTGAATTAAAAAAAAGAAAAGTATAGAAAACAAATCATGTTTTAAACAAATCAATTCAGTAAAGTCAAAATAAAATTAAAAAATTACAAGGAACTTATTATACCATTTTTTAAAATATAAAATTTTATAAGACTTAGATTTACACACACGCACGCGCGCACACATATGGAAAATGTGCAATTATTCACGAATAGAATACTATCGTGCAATTATATTACAAGGTAACTTCTAATAATTCATTGAAACGGTTTAGACAATTATCGGACTATCTTCGGCACACGGAAACTTTGTTATCTAGCAATCCTATTATCCCAATGATAAATGATCAAACAATATCTCTGCATTTACAATTACTATAGCGGAGAGACTGATCGCTCTTTCTCTCTTTCTCAAAAATCACGAATCTGTTTGCACGGATTATCGAATGCTTCACAATTATTTAGATGTGAAATTACCAAGTGTGCAAAAATTTGATCAAAGTAATCTTGCAAAAATTGCATTCCGTTCGTGTAATAAAATCATCCTGTTTATATTAATTTACTGTATGTATGTACACGTATCTTTTCATGTGTCTTTTCATTTCTACTTACTCTCTCTCTCTTGTAATACAATTTTTTTAATGAGACGAAAGTTTTCCCTTTCTTTAATTTTTCACTTCGTCGTTTACAACTTTTAGACACAGACAAACGTAGCGTTTATCCGTGACCGAATAAAATCAGAAGCAAGTCCACGAAAGGACATTTACGACTATTTACGAATAACCATCCTATTTCACAACTACGACATGCTTCTTGTGACGCGCGCGGTTATATCCATCCGTGCATGTCACGCGGAAAATGTCTAAAGTGAGAAAAGTAGGAAAAAATAAGAAACACAAGTTAGAGGAAAGAAAAAAATAGGGTAGAGAATAAAACGAGCGCGACTGACAACCAGGATCGATAGGTATCACTTGTTGACTCGGACGAATGTAGGTTTCCCGTCGCACACACCATTATGCGAAACGCGCTGCAATTCGCGGCACGAGGAGGGCACGATTCGTGTCAGCGTCGGCTAGGTCAGCGTGGCTGGATCTTCGCTACGGCGAATGGAGTCGTAAGATGAATAAAAGAAACGCTCGCGTCGCGTTGATCACTCTGTCTCTTATGAATTATGGAGTCGGCGTATCACGGTAGGGATCGACACCGATCTAACGAACTCTCGTGCTAACTGCGAACTATTCCTCATCGTCGCAATGTCGATAAAGCTGATGCATTTCGATCGTCACGTTCCTATCGTTAGTGACGATTGGTATGAACCATCCGATTTATTGAGCGAGAGC